GTTACCATAAAGCACCAATGCTGCAGCAAGCAAAGGCTCTAGCAGCTCAGCCAGCTGCTTGTGGCTGGAAAGCCAGACAGGATGTTTGTGACTGTTGCCATGGGAACAAAGGGGCAGTCCATTCTGTACTGAGCACCGGATGTTAGCTCAGTGTGTGTGTGTCATTTGACCCGTACTGGATGTACTTGGGTGGAGTTTCTTCTTGCTGTTGTTGAGTGCAGACATGATTCTCTGTACTGATGTAAGAGGCAGAAATAAATGATGTAAATAGTTTTCTGTCTGCTTCTTCCCCTCCCTGGGGACACCAAAGGGGAGAGAGGAAGAACGGTGTGTTCCTCTCATACATCTGAGAAGAATCGCCGGACCTCGCCTGCTTATCAGCAGAGTGGAGACGCAGGGAGGTCGACAGGAATATCTGCCGGTGCCTACGCTGTGGCACATTCCTCTGACCCAGGCAGAATTCCAACAGTGGTAGCAGAGGATGGTTGCGATTCATCGGACATCTGCATGAGAGGCTGGTGGATTGTCCTCCACTGCTCCTAAGGAGGAATAGAAGCGTCTGAAAGAAGCCAGAGGCTCCACAGACAGCTGGTGGAAAGAAGAGGTGTTTTCCAGAGCAACAAAGTTCAAGGTATGCTGCATTTCGGGCTAAAAGTGTGAACGCAGGAAGATTAATTCCCTGGTTCACGGAGCTGCGTTTCAAAGAAAACAAGAGCTCCGGGAGAAGAGGCCTGCAGCTTGAAGGCTGAAGCCTGCATTCCACAAATTTTTGTGGTAGATAAGAGGTCCTATTGAAATGCATTGTTGCTAGGTAACGGTCCTGGAAAGTCACTGGCAAAGGGGCTGGACTCTGAGTGTGAGCCTGGGAAAGCGCAACAAAATCAGAGAATGTTTTGGCTACAAGGTTTACGAGCTCTTGGAAGGGACTTTTCAATAGCAGCCTGCGTTTAGCTGCCAGGTGCAAAGAGCGTAAACAATTTGCAGTTTGCTGCGTGAGCCAAGGAAAAAAACAACTGTTGGATTTTACAGTTTGTTTGACATTGTGAGCTGGAGGCTTGGCTTCAAGATGGATGCCAAGAAAGGGGGAGGTTTGCCTTGCCCACCTCCCTTGACCAATGACAATTATTCATCTTGGTCTGTAAAGATGAAGGCCCTGCTGCAGAATCAGAGGCTTTTTGATGTAATTGAAAACCCCATCCCTGCAGCACCAACCAGAGGTTGGGAGTCACAGAATGTAAGGGCCAGGACTGCTATAATTCTGTGTGTCTCAGATAATCAGTTGGTGCATGTTCAGCATTTAGAAAATGCGAAAGAGGTATGGGACACACTGCGTACAACGCATCAGAGAGATGCTGGTTCTTCAGCGTTGCTGTATTTTGAGAAATTGACCAATCTGAGACTTGCGCCTGATGGAGATGTTCAAGCGCACCTGACAGAAATGAAGTTTCTGCGTCAACAGATGGTGGAACGCAATTTCCGTCTTCAGGAGGAAGTGTTTTGCTTCATGATGATAAACAGCCTTAGCCGCACCTACAAGGTTGTTGCCAGTCAGCTTGGTTCCCTACCGGCCGCGCAGCTGACCGCGGAGAGAGTTTGTGCTGTGGTCCTGAATGAACACGACAGACTTGCTGCACTGGAAGAAAAGACAGGGGGAGGGAAGAACAGAGTTCTAATTCCCCACTGCTGATGCTACTGGAGAGCATGGTGTAGCATTGAGTGCTGTCCGATGCTACAATTGTGGACAGACTGGGCATCTACAGCGAAACTGTAAGAAGCCGCGCCAGTCAAGAGGAGCAAAGAGCAGCTCTACGAAGCCTCAGGCGTCAGGCAAAAGCCGTACCAAGTGCCAGGTGAAACCTGCAAAGGCTATGATGGCGAAAGGAACCACGCCAGATGTTGGGAACTCGTTCATAATTGATACGGGCGCAACGGTTCACATGTGCCCGCACAGAGGACTATTTTCGACGTTGAAGAAGCAAAGCTTCACTGTGAAACAGGCCAACGGTCAGGAGTTGGAAGCAACTGGAATTGGGACTGTGTATCTTGAAAGTCTGAACTTGACTATAAGTGATGTTTACCTGGTTCCAGAACTGAGATTTAATCTGCTGAGCGTGTCGCAGATTGCAAAGAAAGGACTGAAACTGTCCTATGATGCTAAAAGCTGCAAGATCTACAAAGATGGAGAACTGTTTCTTACTGCCAAAGAGAAAGATGGACTGTATTTGTTGACTTTTGATCAAAGTGATTACATGAAATGTAATTCTTCTGATTCTAACGAAATCTCTCTTGCAGGTGTGACCAGTGTGAGCACCAGGAAGGTGACTAAGACGAAGAAGGTCAACAGAGCATTTCAGCGGGTGTATGCTGATGTGATTGGTCCTCTAGAACCATCTAGAGGCGGTGCACGATTTTACCTTTTGTGTGTGGATTGTTTCACTAATTATTCTTGGGTTTATATGATGGAGAAACCGCAAGAAACTTTAGAAAAGTTTCAGGAATTTTGTGACAAGGTTAAAAGTATGCATGATGCTAACATTGATTGTCTTTTCACAGATGACAAACAAATTTTTCTGTTACAGAAGTTTCAGAAGTTCCTGGATGGAAAAGGGATAGACCACAAAGTTGCAGTCTCGCAAGAAGCGTGGAACAGGGGGGTCTGTGTGAGAGTGAACAAAGAATTGCAAAAGGGGATGAATGCGCAATTGCTGAGTTCACATTTGCCACATGAATATTGGGCCGAATCGCTAGCGTCCTATCTTCATGTGTGGTTGAGAAAAGTCTCAACAGAGTTGGGATGTTCTCCTTTTGAGAAGCTGTTCAATAGAAAACCTTCTGTTGCCTATTTCAAGGTTTTCGGGTCTCATGTGAGAACAGAAGCTCCAGGTGGTGTAAAGAATGCCAGAGGCATTTTTGTGGGTTATGAAAAAGGTCTCTACAGAATAATTTTGTCTGAATCTGGTCAGGTGATTCTCACAAAGTTTCTAGAGAGTGCTCCTGAACAGGAGAGGTTGATTGTTCACGCATTTCCCACAGAGGATTCTGATGATAATGATAATGATGAGTTTGATCTTATTGAGTTCAGTAGTACTGATGATGACAGCGATAGCTCAGACAGCTCAGTTGTCACAGTCATTGAGAGGAAATCTCACATAATGACTAGACCCTCAGAAGAGGAGGATGAACCACTGATTGCTACTGGTTCTCAACAGAGTCCAAAGGTTGAACCAGTGAGCACAGAAGATCAGAACCTCATACGCAGGTCTGAGAGAGTTACAAAGGGTGTACCACCAAAGAGGTACTCAAAAGAGTTTGCTAACTTAGCTGTTGCATGTGTTGCTATTGTTAACAACTCAAAGCAGGTTGAAGCAGTGTCTACGTCAGAGACAAAGACACAACAGAGGGTAGCTAGCCAAGGTAATGCAGAAGCACTCATTCCTTGGAAGCCAGACAACCAGAGAGGTACATTGGTTAAACCAGTGGCGGGTAGTTCCAAGGGTGGAACTGAAACAACAGGGGAATGTTATAAATATAACAACTGTTTGTTTTCTTCTCTGGATGACGCTTTGCTCGCGGCACACATTGATACTTTAGGGGAGTATGTTACCATAAAGCACCAATGCTGCAGCAAGCAAAGGCTCTAGCAGCTCAGCCAGCTGCTTGTGGCTGGAAAGCCAGACAGGATGTTTGTGACTGTTGCCATGGGAACAAAGGGGCAGTCCATTCTGTACTGAGCACCGGATGTTAGCTCAGTGTGTGTGTGTCATTTGACCCGTACTGGATGTACTTGGGAGGAGTTTTCTTCTTGCTGTTGTTGAGTGCAGACATGATTCTCTGTACTGATGTAAGAGGCAGAAATAAATGATGTAAATAGTTTTCTGTCTGCTTCTTTCCCCTCCCTGGGGACACCAAAGGGGGAGAGGAAGAACGGTGTGTTCCTCTCATACATCTGAGAAGAATCGCCGGACCTCGCCTGCTTATCAGCAGAGTGGAGACGCAGGGAGGTCGACAGGAATATCTGCCGGTGCCTACGCTGTGGCACATTCCTCTGACCCAGGCAGAATTCCAACAGCCACTAGGTAAAGGTAAAGGACCCCTGGATAGTTAAGTCCAGTCAAAGGTGACTATGGGGTTGCAGCACCCATCTCGCTTTCAGGCTGAGGGAGCTGGCGTTTGTTCACAGACAGCTTTCCGGGTCATGTGGCCAGCATGACTAAACCGCTTCTGGCGCAACAGAACCCCGTGATGGAAGCACGGAAACACCGTTTACCTTCCTGCCTATTTATCTACTTGCACTGGTGTGCTTTCAAACTGCTATGTTGGCAAGAGCTGGGACAGAGCAACGGGAACTCACCCTGTAGTGGGGATTCAAACCGGCGACCTTCTGATCAGCAAGCCCAAGAGGCTCAGTGGTTTAGACTACAGCACCGCCCACATCCCTGCAACATCAGGAGAGCTACAGATTCCCCACCCTTAATTTAATCTCTATACCAGATGTGCAGTTACAATGCAGATAGACTTTTAGGACATCCGAATATAAGAAGAGCCCTGCTATCTTAAACCAGACACCAATCTATTCCAGCATCTGTTCTCACAATGGCCAACCAGAAGGCAATGGGAAGCTCACAAGTATGAGTGCAATAGCCCTCTCCCATTCACAATCCCCATCACCTAGTATTTAGAAGCAATATCATCTCTGATAATGGAATTAATATTTAAATATCATGACTAGTAGCAATTGATTGCCTTATTTTCCATGACTTTGCCTAGTCCTCATTTAAAGCCATCTAAGGTAGTAGACATCACTACATCTTGTGGAGACAAATTCAAAGTGTGTTGTGTGACAAAGAATTTATTTTTGTCCTGAATCTCTCAACAGTTCTGGCCATTTGCAATGTCTCATTGAAATAAGTTTCTGAGTGAGGCTGGCCAGTGCAAGACTGCATATGCCAAATTAGACTCCACCACTTGCCTTAGAACATTGTTCCTCAACCTAATAGGTCTCCCTGGCTGGCAGGTTTTTTTCCCTATAGTAAACTTACATTTACTTTGCAATTTCTCATCAGTTAGTTTCATGTTCAGGATCTTAAGCTGTTTCATCCTGTTCCAATATTTACTTTTCAGATTTTTCAGGGTATTGTTTGAAGCCAACAAAAAGACTCATCAGTGCTATGTAAAGAAAAAAAAAAGCAATGTCATTATTATTTGTTTTTAAATTACAATATTTGGATTTGTTCTTTTAACTTCTCCAAGTGTCCTTTGCATTCTTTGTATAATTCTAAATAGCAAAATTGGATCTGCCTCCCAGATTATCAGGGTGAATTTAAGAAGGCATATTTGACCAGGTAAAAAGGTATAGAAAAAGTACTTTACAGTGCGCACAATATTCTCGATGCTGCTTGATGTTGGAAATTACTTGCATAAAACATGGACACATTCCATCCATACCCCAATGGGTGCAGCTGCACGAAGGAATAAGGAGGTGGCCTTCTCAGGCAGCAGCTGTGTATGGAAGGGGAGGTGGGAAATTGTTCAGCTCTTCTTTGCAATGGCAATTGGCTGGCGACTGGCTAGCTCTATATAGCACATGTGGGGTAGATGGGGAACATCAGCTAGTTGATGGAGCTGTGTTCAGGGCCTTCATTGTCCCTTGAACAGCATATTCAACTGCTAGTCCAGTCGGCTTCTGTATGTGGAATGAGAAGGAGGCACCTTCTTGTCCTTTGCATCAAGCAGCAAAATTTCTTGGGCAGCCCGGTAGTTAACACATTGCTAATATGCTGCCAAGAGATAATTATATTGCTAGGAGTGTCTACAGTGGAAGGCTTTTGTTGAATTCAGCTACCTGATGGGCAGATGGAGAGGGATTTCGGTGGTACAATTAAAGCCAATAGCAGACTACAACAGGATCATGGCTAAGCTCAGTCTAAAGAAGCCACAATTCATTTTCAGGCTATTTAATGGGTTACTTTGCATTTAATTTTAATACTCAATTTGAATAATGTATCATGGTCTGAGAGAGTAATAACAATCAGCCTATTGATCTTCTTTATCTGGATGGAATAAAAATGTTGCATTCTGGCAGCTCTTTGATTATGAGAATTGCAATTAGGAGTGGGTTTGTGTGTGTGTTCCTACTGGGACTTCAGACACTGAGAATTATATTGCTTTTATGTTAAGCAAATCAAGTGACACGATATTTATTGCACAGTCGGTGACAAGAGGGAATTTATTTGAAACATTTGTTGTTTTAGAATGACTGTATTGTTCCTTCTGGCATGACTGATGGAGTTCAGATAAAAAATGGTTCCATCCGTGTTTAGTTTGGGTGTAGGTGTCATATGTACAAATGTTATACAGTGAAAAAAACCCCACAGACTTAATTGCTGTTATTATTGTCCTTATCATTTTTAATGTCAGCTGTGTTTAGGATTGGAGCGAAAGTTAACTTTGATTCTGAGCACAGATCAACTCTGTGTGGGAAAGAAAGAAAGAATGAAGGAAAGAAAGAAAGAAAAGGACACATGGAATCATTTTATTACCAATATTAGATGTAAATGATAGTTTTTATCTTGTAAATACAGAAAACTTATTAATTTGCCCACAATTATAAATAGCATGATAATAAAAAGAACTATTCATGAAATGCAGTAATAAATGTGCACAATTCTAACAAATAGATCTCTGCTTGCAACCCCCCAGAGGAAAAAGAAGGGAAGATTCAAATTGATTATTGAAAAAGTTGCCGACCACCTTCTACCCTTGCTAAAGTGAGCAGCAGGGTTTAGGAACTGGCATTTCTTCAGCCATTGAATTTCAACTGCCAACTTAGAATTGCTCTGCTTATATTTAAAAAGGAAGTTAGAGTGAGCAAAAGTTGTGGAAAGGAGATTAAATATAGCCTTGGGGAAATACAGGGACAAAATACAGTGGTACCTTGGTTCCTGAACGGCTTAGTTGTCGAGCAAATCGGCTCCCAAACGCCGCAAACCCAGAAGTAAGTCTTCTGGTTTGCGAACGTTTTCCAGAAGCCTAATGTCTGACGTGGCTTTCGCGGCTTCTGCTTGAGCGCAGGAAGCTCCTGCAGCCAATCGGAAGCTGCACCTTGGTTTTCGAATGTTTTAGGAGTCAAATGGACTTCTGGAATGTATTAAGTTCGAGAACCAAGGTACCACTGTATATCATGGAGCTCACTCCACACTTTGGAGTGGCATGTTCATATTGGTTTGAAGGACTGGAGGAAAAGGTGCATCTACATCCCTAGCTAGCTAGTTGGATAAAATAAGAGTTTGGGTTTTTTGTTTGGTATCACTTTGCTAATTGCTGCCCCAACAGTCTACACCAGGGATGGGGAACCTGTGGCCCCTCAGATGATGGTTGAACTACAGCTCCCATCATCACTGATCTTTGGACATGATGGCTGGGGCTCATGGGAACTGTAGTCCAACATCATTGGGAAGGCCACAGATTTCCCATCTCTGGCCTAGACTTTTCTAGAGGGCATTCTTGCCTTGGTTCAATAAACAGACTGTCATTTGGATGCATATGTGATCATTGTGGGATGGGTTTTAATGGGTAGGAAAGGATATACAGTATTAATTGCAACTGATCCCTCCAGGTGCCCATGTGTGGGGCTTAAAGAGAGTTTTAAAATCCCACCCTTGGCAGCAAAGTTGTAAAGCATAGGAATTAGGCTGCAAAAGTTGGTTTTGAGAAAGTCCAACCATGAAGTTCTTTCTTACCCTGCTTAACACAAAACCAGGCAACAAATTAGGAAGTAAGTTAAAAAATATAATTCACTTACTTATAATACTGCATTGGTTCACAGCAATGGCAGCAGTAAAATATGTGCATGCTAAATACTTATATTTACAGTATAACTGGCTTCAGGCATCTGCCTGGAGCTGGAGCAAGCACAGGGCACATCTGCCCTCCTGGCTGGTCAAAAGAAAAGAGAGTGAGAGGACCAGGAAGT